CACCCCTTAGGGCGCCCTGGTATGTACTGAAACACTTTGATCCTTCGTTTGTACCTTGAACAATAACTACAAGATGCCAATAACAGTACAAGTATACCTACCTGGACCATCGTTTGGGTGTCCTGGCTGGACTACCCTATGCTATTTGTGGATCTCCATTGGATACCCAAGAAGGATGGTCCTGGTACATACCTACACTTCAAAATATGTTTTCACACGTTTGTTGGAATTCAAAAAAACAGTAAATGTAAAGCCAGCTCCTTGGCAAAAATCAACTTACAATATAGTATAAGGAAAAACTCATACATATACTGTAGTTTTAACGGGCAACAAGAACTATATTAGAAAAAATTGACATGGAATTATATAAATCAGGTTTTATTAAATTCCATTTAGATTTAAATCAGTATTGATGTTGAACGAAAATAAACTAGAATTCATGTAGAGTTGAATTAGAACCGAATTAGAATTAAATTACAATAGGATTAGGTATAGCATATAAGTTATTATGAATAATCCATTTGTCATAATAGCAAATGTGCCAAAAAGCGTACTGCCACAACTGCCCGCTCTCTATAAACAAATAATAACATTAAATAAACAAATATATAGATAGATATTTATATCAGTATAAATTGGAAAACAACAACACGTGTCACCAAAGACATATTCGTGGTATGCCTTGTCTTTGCCAACAACGTTTTCTCGGGTGACCGGCGAACACCACCACCGCTGGCGACGCGCAGCCGGCGACGCGCAGGTTTGGTCCCTCGGCGACAGCACCGATCGATCCGGCGGTCGTGAAGTGTTTGGGGGTTCTTGGGCACGGGGGAACATCTATCATAGGTTTCAGATGTGCTGCTTGAGAAATCTAAAGAAGTCGGTGCCCAGGGTTTGTACTGCAGAAATGTGGCATTGTGCAAGAAACCACATCTACAAGATGTGTTACTTCAGAAATGTCGAACTGTGCGGAACAAAAACACACACATCCACAGGATTTCATCTACAGGATCTCAGTTTAGCATACCAGTTCACTAGTTTGGACCTGTCCTCTATATGTGCAGATGGATCCTATTATGAGACCTCATCCCTGGTGGATATCCAGTATCAGAACTTCTTGGCCACTGGCCGATGTTTCCACAATCGGAGCACTCCGGTGCATTTGTACCGAATGAGGGGTTTCACACAAACATCTAGCGCTACTACGGGCACACCTGGCCTTACCAGGAAGAAGGAGCTACTATTGTAGCAAAGGGCATTACCTACTAGGAACCAGAAGCAATGACTGAGGGGTTTCAGCCCACGTCCGGTCGGATGGCTGGACGAACCGAAGGACCGGACCCGGACCTGGACGCGTGGAAGACGCACAAACCGAAGGAGCTGCACCTCCACACCGGCGACAGGTCGTTCAGTAGTGGCGATGGATTCGCTTAAGAAAGAACGACAACATGTCTCGCGAGGTGATGTGTAGATATACTGTATATAATATATACTGTAATGTGTCAGACAACCATCCTTGGTGGCCAAATACAGAGGTTGGTCATTTCAAGACTTCTTGGTAGTGTTCAGCGATTTTCTGGAACTTCAGTGCTCAGAATGAACTCTTGGTAGTTCTGTGATGAAAACAAGTTCTGTGTGAGGAGCACAGCGAACATCGGGTTCCAAGAGATTTGCTGCTTGCTTTCTTTGTTCAACGTATGAACGGTAAACACAATTGATTTGATGGATCTTGTTTTGCTCAAGTGGCCAAGGAGTGGGACACTTGAAAAGGTCGGGATGCGGCAATCCTACATGTTTTACCATATTGACGTAATTTTCGGGTGCTTAATTGCGTCGTCGACAGAGTATGCCAGTTGCACCAGTTTCGCCCATACGTCGTCCACCAGGCCGCAGCTCACGTCGTAGGACAATACGCAGCCCACGTGTGACGCCTGAGGATTGGTGGTTTGTCCGAAAGCACCACCTGGAAGGACCCGACCGGTGACCCGAACGGTGGAGAGAAGCACCGAGAGAACCACCTCCGGAAGTCTCAAAAGCAGGTCAACGACCCCACAGGCAACTATTTTTTTGAAGCATACAGTAAAAATATTACATAATTATGTGTATATATCTCATATATATATATATTGGGTATGTATATATATATATATATATATATTAGTGACATACTTTCATGAGTACTTTCGTATTTGTTTCAGGACTTTTTGAATGACTCGAATCCGGCTTTGTCCCTTCGTCCATTTTTCGGGGCGAATCCCGGTTTGGCAGCGCCAGAACTGCTGCTCGGCTGTTCTGAGAGGCTTGGAGATCACGACAGCCTATGACCTCATACCCAAGTGGAGATACGTAGAGACTTTAGCAGAGCCAGTGCCACTCAAAGAGAATTTTTGAAATAATTTATAGATGCCGTGATTTTGTATTGCGCATATGTTTTTTAGAATACGGCATGTTTGCCCATGTTTGCAGGTTGGCCCACGTGTTAACACAGAGTGTTTGCCCATGTCAGTGTGCGGAGTGTTTTTGTGAAGCTTGCTAAAGGCCGGTTGCAGCGTGTTTCTGGGAATGCGCCGTGTTCCTTTTCAATGCGGGTGCCTGACATGTAGGGGTCTAAAGTATCCTGAGAAAGCAATCCAGGCAGCGGACGACTCGGCACTCCATCGCCCAAATCCTTCTACCCGGTCATCCGAAGTATCCCGCACCGCTCAGAAGCTGGCCAGAACGGATCCCGTTGGCCATTCGGATGCCCTGGTGAACCGCAGATAGAGATTGGGGTCGGTAGTATTCTTCCACTTGAACCCCGACGATCTGTTTTTGGTGGGGTTGGCGGTTGGTGTTTAGCCAAATACTAATGAAACGCCATTCCAGGAATGTTCAGTGCCATAAGGGATGCTTGAGTGACAAGGCCAAGGCTCGTCTTTGGAAGTAACCTCCCTGGTGCTTCGAACGTTGGATCCTTTCAGGACTAAAATAGCACCAAACTGTCCATGTGGAGCGTCGAACCCTTCGAACGACTCAACCCTCATCAACCCTCATAGGTTGACCTCCATCGTATTTCATTCTGTTCAATTTTTGTGGCCAGCCATCGTCCTCCGGTGCCATAGACCCACTCCCTCCTTCCTCTCCAGCCTCCCACCCACGGCCACCCTCCCGAAGGATCTTGAGAAGCACTTCTCCTCCGTGGCCAAGCCCTCCATCACCGCACCTTGGAGCTGATCCGGCCCAAGGGGCCGCCAAGCGGCGGTCCTGGGCGCGCAAAGCACTTCCCGGTTGATGGTTGGGAGGTTTGCATGAGATCGTTTTGTGAGATGTTTGCACCTGGAGTTGAAGCCTCACAATGGACCAAACTGGATGACCTTGAGGATTATGTGATGAAGTTGAAGTCTCCAGTCTCAGGTCACTGGTTCGTCGGGACAATCTTTGGGCTGTTCATAGCTTCTAGTTTCGGCATTCAGGTGTAGCGTGCGGCGTAGCAACATCTGTTGACTTAGCAAAGTCGTCTCAATTGCGCATGTGTGTGTGGCAGAACGTAAGACATGGTGCTGGTTCTGCACCATCAAAACCTGCAAAAGAGGAAACAGGGTGAAGTTGAGAGTCCCTCGAAGGTTGCAAGGGTTAGCCTTTGGAAAAAAGAAAGAAACACTGGCTGGAACACGAGTGTCGCATGTTGGAGGGCAATCATCCCTTGTGGTGCCATATGTTTGGGTTGCACACAGCGCCTGAGGACATTAAGAAGAATGGCACGGCTGTGGTGGCCTACAAGACGGTCGAAGACGTTGAGGCAGAAGGAGGTAAGTAAAGACTGCCTGCGCTGGCGGATGTGCATGTTTTGCTGCATGGAAACAGGAGATTCAATTCTTCTTTGCGCGAAGAGGAAGATATCTATATGTGGGGATTGTCACAACATCAAATTGCAGATTAGAATGATTAGAACTCACGTACCACCATCACCAGAAGAGGAAACCTACCCAGACGATCCCAGACGGGCCTTGTGTTCCAGGCGTCGCAGGATGCACCTTCAAGGACCCAACTCCCCGTCTTTGACCGAGGGAGTTGGTCCAGTCTATCCCTTGCTCGAGCCTGCGAAACCAGAAACTACTAGTACCTTGCACCATGCGATATGCGGTCTTCTTTGCAATGTCTGAATGATCACCGTGCCGTTTTTTGCCATGTTGGTTTGGTGAACGAAACTGCATTTGTCTAAGAAGTACTATACAGTACGATCTTCCAGTCGAGATCCGCGGAATTCGCCGTTGCAGAACGCGGTGGCCACGCTGAATGGCAGTGAACTCAAGGGTCAAGCCATCGAGGTAGATGTGCAGCTTGGCCGGTTCGAAACTGGGGCACCATGATGGGCAGAATAGTTAGTTGACCAGGGAGATCCACCTTCTTTGAACAGATTAGTGCGGACTGGCACCATCCAAACAGAGCAAGGCAGGTTCTAAGTTCTTGGGTGAGATCACAACCCTTGGTTTTTGTGATTTGTGAACATTAATAATATTCCTCTATAAAAGGGTATATAGAAACTAGATTCCTTGAGAAAATGGAACTAGTGGTCAACAGGTGAACAGAGGAAATAATCGATCTATACTTCAAACCACACGGTCTAAATCTTCGCCGAGTCGATCTTTGCCTATCCCACCGAGTATTTTTACGTTAAAAAGCGCGCGGAAGTCGACTGCTTTGGACCATCGCAATGCCCGGGGGAGGAGCACGAAAGCCTGTGAAGCCATCGTCCTGACCGTTCACATGACTATAGGATGTCCCCACTCTTCAGGATGTGTTCGGGATGAAATAGCGCTTCAAAAAGCGAAGGCCGCAGGAGAAGATGCAAAAATTACAGAAAAGATCAGAATCACACCATCAAGTTGACCTGTCAAGGATGGGCTTTGCAGTCCAACCACACCCGATCGACCCACCAAAGAAAAACGAAGCTTTTGTGCGGTGACCGGAGCGTGATTCGGGTGATGGCTTTGCCGCTGAGGTGGGTCCAGAAGCCCAAGATGGAGAAAGTGAAGGTGAAGGACTCGTTTTCATCACTGGTGTTTCTGAAGTGTTGTGTGTGTAGTTGTTGGGTTGTGAAACAAACATGTAATTATGTTGGTATGCAAGGTTTTTTTCATTTGCAGGTGGTGTGTTGGTGTGAAGGGGGTATTAGATGTATTAGTCAGCTCCTACCATCGCACTGTATTGTGTTTTTTTTTTTTTTTCCGACAGTTGGAGCTGTAACATTTGTTTAAAAAGAAAAACAACTAAATAAGCTCCATAGCCCAATGTCAAAATCTCAAGATCCACTTCCCCCGCTCAAATGAGACCCACTTCCGGTTTCAGAAGAGACCCTGGGGTGGGAGAGTGATGATCAGGCCAGTAACGTGGAGGGTGAAAGTCACGTGCTTGATAAGGCTTGTCGTTTCAGGAAAGGGCAGGGTACTTCACAGCGATGGAGTGACCTGGTGGATTCACAGTGGACATCCCTGGGGGAAGAAGATCGTGAAACATCCAGGACGGTCGACGGTGGACCACGTTGTCCTATGGACATCTGGACAAATCACATTGTCCTACCCCGCACATTGTTGGACCACCTTCCTCACCAATCAACATAGTTCCACGGCCGCAAGTATTATAAGGGTAGCCTTGTTCCTTGGAACAGGAGGACGCGCCAAAGAAGTCCCTTCCATCCGCCCCCAACTGCATTTTAGTGAAGAAAGCGCCCCTTGGCGTGGGCCCGCACCGGAATAGTTACTATAGCAGGGTGCAGCCATGATTCATGTTGTGATTTTTTCCCGAAATGCCAAGGTTTTGAAAGGGTTCATGGACACCCCGAATCACCTATATGAGCCTATATGAGAGGCCATTATTAGACACCCCGGGTGGCCCGGTGCGGTTGTGTTCGTTTCAGAAAGCCAGTCCTTAAAGGATCGAATTGGGTTCCCATGGTTTCTAGTGTCACACACACTGTTGCAGCTTGCGTTGCAGTGCAGAGAAAAGCCTGCCCTTGGTGCTTATTAGTTGATGCATTTGGTCCATTTCTTGGTCCACAGGAAATGGCTGATTTCGTTGCATTCTTGGGACGGGGCGTTCCCAAGAGCAGCTGCCCTGGGTGACAAGAAACATGTTGAAATCTTGTTGTTTCTGATTCCTGTGCTGCACTGGGTCAATGCAACTGATGCAACTCCGAGAGATTGTGTTCCGCATCCGGGTGTGGGGGGAGGTCGTTTCTTTAGACCTCTGTGGTTTCGCATCCAAAGCCACAGCCTGTTGGTCTTTTAAGTCGACTGAGAGGAGCTATAGAAGTTTAATATTCAGAACCTCGCTACAAACAGGCCTTGCCTTTTCATGCCTTTTCTATATTTTTGCTATATATATATACACTGCCTCCCTCATGTGATTAGATCTTGTTTTGGCCAGGCCCAGACAGGCTGGCTGGTATCCGTTCTGGTAGTTATACACCCAGCTGGAGAGAACCTGTTGCAGGTTTAGTTGGCACACGACATCATACGCCCGTTCAGTCGTAACATCACAGAAATGCTGCGTGTTCACCAAAAGTGCACCCACAAGCAAAGATATTAAAGTTTATTAAAGACGGTAAAGGATGAGGGGATGGAGAAAACATACAGATGCTGGCAGAGAGCACCAGACGTACTTTACCATACCACTCAGTATACCAACAGGTTTGTGGTGGATCATGCAGTAGATTAGAGAGCACAGAAGGCGTATATCTTTGCATACAAAAATTACTAGGGTTGTCGGGCTGAGTTGGTGATGCAGAAGATGCAAGTCTAAACTGTGCGGCATCACTCGCATTCTCAAGGTAGTAGTAGGTGTGAGAATCGTGTTTTGACATTATAGGATGTGTCGAAGGGTTATTGCCCAACTAATAGCTTCGAGGAAGGGATTTGCGTGGGTGGAGAGGATGGTCTCTCTTTCAACCTTGTTTCACACAGCTTCAAACCCTCTTTGGGGTTCCCCATTCCAAAGACTAAAACATCACAGAAGGCTTCATTTCGTAGCAGATGCAGAGCATGGCTAGGAGGTTCCACCATGTTCCTTCCCGTTGGGGGAAGGAAAAATGTGATTTTTGACATTTCCGTGTGTTTTGTTGCACCACTGGAGAGAATTATACTCTGCAAAAATAGATTTTTGTTCTTTTTGTGTGCGCTATTGATGTTTAGGTCGATGAACAACCTGTTGAAATGATGGGAATGGTTTATCATTGTTTTATTGACAGTGTGCCCCGTGTTTTTTTAGCTAACAGGAAGGATTTGTGCATGTTGATTCCACGCTCTTCCTTTGTTTGATAATATAACTCTTTGTGTCACTTTGTGTTGTATAACATGTTTTGAGGCATTCAGATTGTCCGTCGGATGGGTATAGAGGTTTGATCGGACCAGGTCCGGTGGGATCATGTCTGTGTTTTCACCAACAGAGATGTCCTTGCTTTTTGCTGGGGCACTTAGCGGGCTTGGGCCTTGGGCTTGAGAGAGGTCTGCACCGCGATGGGACGGTGACTGCTACGCGTTTGCAGTGGCGATTGTGCCGGAGTCAAGTGCAATCAAACCGGTGGTTCACCCGCAGCAAGTCAATGTCAAATGGTGAGGGTGTCCCAAGCACCCGACTCGATCCTTGACTCCACTCTGGTCGAAAAGTGGTCAATTGGGTGAGACAGTGTGGCTACATTGCACTCTGCTCAATGAAACTAAGCCTTATTGTTTTTGCCGGGAATTGCTTATGCAGTTTTCCGCCCCATCTGCCCTTGCATTCGAAGTTGCCTCTTTCCATTTCAGAGGAGTATGCTGGGGTGAAGTGTGCCTTGGCTCGAGGTGCTAAGGCAGACCAAGATCTGGAAGGCCAATAACACATACAGTACATCATAGCGCGCTTGGCAATGCAAAGTATCTCGTCAATACAGAAAAAAACTGGAAGACAAAAACAGAACTTGACAAGAGCTCAATAAGTTCATCCCAAAGAATCTGAGCACAAAGAAAACATGGGTTGCTCAACCCAGAAATCTGGCAATGCCTTCAAGTTGAGACACAACGCAGGAAAAGACCTGTGGAATCAGTGTCCCAAGATTCTTTGAGCGGCAAATTGGCAAAATGCCTAACGACACAGACAGAAGCGAAGGGCATCAGCAATGACATTACCCCTAGGGCCCAGGGCCTAGGTTGACCAAAGTTGCTAGGTGTTGGAAATGATTCGATTTGACGCTAACATTCTTTCTGAAAATCAGCACCTTCCTGTTGAATACGAGGAGTCTCAAGACAAATTGGGGAATGCAATTCCCCCGCGTCGCTAACGACCCCGTGACCTAGTTTTACTATGAAATTGTGTTTATGCATTTATCAATCCTTACAAAATTTGACATGTTTTATCAAAATAGAGTCTATGTTTTCCAAAGTTGGAATCTAATTGGTAGAATATGAATATAACATATATATATATATTGATGCAGTCCCCGACTGTACACAGCCTCCTGGTGGTTGTACTTTGCCAACAACTGCCGCTTTGCGTTCTTCCTTTCACTCGCCAGGTGCATTGTATGCGTGTATTTATATATGACTCGTAAAGATATAGTATGCAGCGCGCCCTGGGTAAGTGACCACTCCTGATGCTTTAAATTGGGTGGTGTTCCTATTGGCTGGACATGTGTCTCAGAACCCATCGGTGATGCTACACTTGCGGTAAACATCCCACAATCCTTTTCGGCAAATCTTCTTTTCACCGTTTCCAAGGCCAACCCTCAAGAAGGTGGCCGTGGCCAAGCAGCCTGCGACTCCGAAAGCGAAAGCCAAGGCGAAGGCCAAGGCGAAGGCCAACCCGCAGAACGATAAGATGAAGGAGAGGGCGCATGGTTTTACATGTAAAAGATGTGTGTGCAAGTCCTCAACTCGCCGGGTTTTCCCGCGATACATTCTTAGACGATGGTTGAACCCTCCAAACCCTCCGAATACATTCCAAAAGTGTTTTTTGCATGTTGTTTACTTGTTTCAGAGGTTTTGTGCATGTTTATCAGTGGCGGAAAATGTCAGGGATTGGCACCCCCAAATACATGTGCTTTTTTTTGTCAGGTTCTCAGGGTGTTCCTTGGACGCAAGTTGAGCAAATCTAACAACAGCGGACATCCAAGATGTTCGGATTTGAGCACACATTGATCACAGGGATCAGTCAATTGAAGGGTCTCGCAACTGCCCACCCGCCAAGGTTGGACATTTTAAACGACTGAATCGTTATCAATGAACCTGTTGCAACAGCCGTACGTGTTCACGTTCAGCTTTATTATCATTGTTATTGTTTTTTTACTCTATAGGCAAGACGGAATGTTATCGTTAGATGTTCAGCTTTGGTTTTGGAAGTTTGCAACAGAAACTATCAAGGCCATCCATGATGAGAGCCCTTGGGAATTTTTCAGGTTTTTGACCAGCTCAGGGTATGTCAGGGTGTTTCCCTGTGGGGCAACAAAATGTTTCGGTGGATCAGGTGGAGGCAAATGTTGTCAAGCAATTGTGCCATTGCAAAGAATCACAAGGAATTGTATTCTTGGAATTCTGGGATGGCCACCGCCCAGTCATAGATGCATTTCACACCAGTGCAATAGACATGAACAGCAGATGCCATTTGTCTATGTGTTTTTGTTTTCATCCAGTGAGTGATTCCATACCAGATCCTTCATTTGCGGAGTTGCGGTTCAAGTATTCGTATGCTAAACTATGGATTCACTTTGGTGAAGTTCCATTCCATTCCAGAAAGGTTGGAGAGACGGCTAGGGTGCTCGTTGAACATATTGAAAGAAAGCGTGTGATATCTCATTTAGTATTTGGTGAACTAGGCCTTGATCGGGTTTGACAAGAAATGTGCCTCTCAAAGGCCTATATATCAGAAACCGTTTTCTTGGGCTTCACCCGTATGTCCAAATAATCAACAAATAATACATTGATGTGCACATATCCAATCACAGTTGCGTTTTCATGTCAAAAGACCATCCAAAAAAGAGAAGGATACCCTTCGAAGAGGTCTTCTTCTCCCCCGAAAGGGCCGGCACTGCGAAACACAGATGCACAGGAGAAGCTGGCGGCGGCGCCCGCGAACCTTAAAGTCTGGGTGGGCGGGTTGGCTGAAGGCACCACTTGGAACTTTGGTCTTTTTTCAGAGAATATGACGGGGGGAGGGTTTGAGGACGCTACGAACGGAGCAAAGGACCTCGCTACTAGGAGCAAGGACGCTATTAGGGGCTCCTGGCCTTACTGCTAGGAGCAAGGATGCTACTAGGAGCTGTTATTGACGGTCTGGCCAGGCGGATAGACCAATCGGGTTTGCTTTGGAAACCCATCTTTTGGAACTGCTGCCCATCATGTTTGGGTGCCCCTCGGTGGCAGAATCTCTACCCGGAGCCTCCAGTGCATCTTCAAAAGAACATTAAAAAACAGCTCCACCCAGTAACTGGGTGGTTTGTATACATGACCATAGCTTTAGGAATCCAATTACTCTCCATTTGCTTGGCAGTGTGCTTGGCATTGGCATTCCGCGCGTTCGATGGAACGAGCCACCCGTAGTAACGGGAACTCTATGGAACTGTTGTGAAACATAGTTCTCGTTTCAATGGCGGGGTTGCTGGGTTGGAGAGGAATCCATTTGAAGATGGTCTTCCTAAGATGGACTTTCTTAGGAAGACACCACAAGGAGCTGAGTACCTTGCCTGGTTGACCTCCCCCCGTTGCAGGTGATCATCATGATGGTGTTTTTTTCCTATCATAGCTCATGCTGATGACTGAATCCACCGTTATCGTGTACCCCGGCACACGAACGTGGATGATCAAAGAACATGTCCACGGGACGCGAACGAAGAGATCCGGACCATTGGACACATCCACCGCCGAGCGCGGCGGCCTTCGTCTCCTAAAGTGATTATTATTTTCCGAATCTTTTCCAGGTCCTTCCTGGAATGGTTGGGGTTTGCGTACAAAGAGCAAGGCAGTGTAGACACATGGGTCGACCGGGCGTGCCCAGGAAGGAGCTGGATAAGCACATGGCCACTGGGATCAAGCCCAAACTCACCCACGTCTATAAAAATACAGGCGCGCTTGGGGAGAACTCCCTGCGAGGGGGGCCCTGCAGGAGTCAAAACTGTCGTGGATAGGTAAAATTGGGGCATGCACATGAGGAACTCACCACCTAATAACCTAATATATATCCACATCAAGAATAACAGAACTCGTCTCGCAACAAGGGAGTCTTGTGTTTTTCGAGAGACTTGAGATCGGTCATCATTCCAGCAGATTTTGTTTGATTCAGCCACTAGAGGCATCTTTTGTCATTTTGTTCCCGTACTTATGATTTACCAGTCATTAAGTGTTTGCAATGATTTTGGTTTGGAGAGTGTTTGACGAACAGTCATTATGAGTTACGTGCTAAGACCACCATGACAGTTTGATAGATTTGGTAGGTGTCCACTGGTTCCTCAGATACCAACAATAGGATGAATTTGGAAGATATCATACGCGTATTATGTAGTATCACGTCACATCTTTTCTCCGGAAAATTGTTGCCTCAAGCAACCTGAGTTCAATTATTCTGTAGCTTGGGTGGGAATCCTCCTCCCCCCCAACCTGATGTTGAGGTCACAAAAGGCGATTGTTTCCAGATGACACATGACATGGAGAAGATCCAAGAAGATTCATATATATATATATATATTGCTGTTTCACAGATGTGTGTCCATCCCCAAGTAAGTGGAGTGTCAGACCGGACGGTTCCAGCTTCTGTGTGGATGCTTCGTTGTGTCGTGTGGCGATGTCCTTCGACTCCTCGCGACGAGGCGTTTGCGCTTCTTGGACGAAAGAACACAAAAAGGAAGGTCGAGTGGAACACGTTTCGGTTTCGAGGCCAGCCATGCAAGGCAAAAGGGGTGTGAAACTCCAGAGGTATAGATGATATGAAACGATTTGGAAAGCAGTAAGAGCGTTGTCCCCAAAGAGGGAACAAAACCATGTCCAAGGCTTCTTTCCCATGAGTTTTGCACACTACATTGACATGATTGTTGATGATTCTTATTCTTGTATCCCACAGGGGGCGTTGCTAAGAATGCCTATGTTCTCTAAAGCCTATCCATTCATGGTGGGGGGAATCATGTTCAAACCTCTTGTTCTTTTGGTGCTCAGTTCCTGACCAGATGCCTGAGTGCCTGACCAGATGCCTGGGTGCCTGATGCCCTGATTGATGTATTGCGGATGTGTGTGTGTTACTTTGGATATGTGACGAGGTGTGCGAAGAAGTGTGGACACCCTTTATTTTGTGCAACTCAATATTTGAGTATGTGTTTTTTCAACAAAGTCACTGTGTAAGAGTGTAAGAGATCGAATGAAGAAGTCAGAGATCGTATAACCACTAAGGACTTGACTTCGATCATAATATGCCTGCCACGTTTGTTGGTACAAATTTTGGAGAAGAGTCAAAACAAGAGTGGCGGAGCATTCCTTGTTACATAGTGTTAGCCCACATGCAAGCATGTTGCAAATGTTGTTGGATATGGTAGCCAGACCACCAACGGCACCAGAAGATTTTACGTCTTCTTGAACCCCTCAGTAGGTCCACAAAAAATGTTCACCACATGTTTACCACATGGTGATGTTTATGTGTTTTTTTGTGCACGGGCATTGCACCGAGCTCTATGAGACGGAGGATGAGGTGGCGAATGCCTGTGGTTTGATGGATGGCACCGAGCTCAAGGGCAACACGTGCCTCGGACACGGAAGGAAGTGGGGGGAAGTGGGGGCAGTTTTGGAGTCTGGGCAAATGTGTTGTTTATTAATTGTGTGTGTTTTTTGCGTGATGGTTTATCCTGAATTTGTGATGGTCTATTTATGTTTATATATTAATTATTCAATGTTCATTTCTAGTTCTAAGTGAATCTGTGAATCTTAGATGTTGCCTGGGCAATCACCTAGTGGCATAGGTCGTAGGTCTTTCTTCAATTAAGTCCCTTTTGCCTTCTGCTCATATGGAGGGACATATCAGAAACACTGGGGGTGGTTCATTTTTGGAAGCCACATCCTTCCATCAGGTATAAGTCGCAGGACCCACATCCTCCCACCCTGGTGAATGGACACCTCGCTATTGACAACCCATCATTGCCCAACCACTTGAGTGTGTATTACAATGGGGAGACTCCCCAAAGACGGAAATAGACAAACACATAGTGAAACCCCATTTGGGTGGAGATGTCCCTATGAAAATACACATCCGTTTCCTGCCTTTCGTGTCGCTAACAAAAATCAGCTGGGTCCTTCCAATGAGCCGATGAGCTGAGACGAGCTGAGCTGCCAAGCTGTCCAGCTTTTTTTTGTTTGGACTTTCACCGGTGGCTGGGTACCCAGACGATCCAAGGGACTGGACATATTGCTGTCCCATGGGTGGAGAACCGGTTGTATGGGTCAATGTATAAGAGTAAGGAGATATTCCATGGATGGTTCGGGGTAGAAAGACATATCTCTTGCAGAAAAGAGTTGACCACTGTTCGTGAAGATGAACAGATCGTTCCAAAAGGTCTCAGACCACGATACCAGGGCCTTTGAACAGCAAACCTTGAACGTGCTTGGATTCAGCATTGCTCGTTGAGGGGAGTTGATCAAGAATCCCAGATTCCTACTTGTCACGGAGAACGTGCAACGTGGTGGTAGCATGGCAGTAGTGGATCACGTGAAAGCCAGTCTGAAAAAAATCCAACTCATGAAGACACAGAGAATCATATCATATCAATTCATCTCATATCATATATATATATATTGAAATTATATATACCACCATATACCCCTCAAAACTCCTGCCTCACGCCCTAGTGCAGGCACATCACCCCGAAACTACCACCTCGTTGCCAGACACCCCTCTTCGTCACCTCAGGTTGCAGGTGGATACATGGACGGTGCCTGAGAGGAGGGAGAAGAAGGCACCGCCTGAACGCCTCAGTCGCGGTTGTGGACGGTAATCTCTGAGGTCTCTGTTCCTGGACGCTGCTTGCAGCGCTGGAAAGCCCAGCACCAGCCGCAGGGTCAAACAGAATCATCAGAATCTGTCCAGGGTTTTAAGAGGTTTGGATCGCTGACGGACTCAATGGGGGCTGTTTTTGGGGTGTCAATCTTCCTGGGCAGGATTCGACCAGTGCATGACAATTATGGTGGAACAAACGTAGACCATGGGAGACCCTGCCAGGATATTTCATGGTCGAGCAGGCCTTTCCCCCACATGGTCTATCAGATCTTGCCATGGGCGACCAAACTTTTTTGGCACGGTCGATCCCATTCCAAGAGGTCTTTCCAGCGCTCAATATGCCACAGCCACCACAGCCCTTACAAAAACATGTGTCCTCCTTTTTGGACAGCCGGAACAGCCACGTCGGACAGACTGAGGACATGTTGGGGTGTGGAACGGACATGGTGGCACGTGGACATACTCCCCCCCTCCAAAACTTTATAAAGCACGTGACACAACCGAGGTGTTTGAGAGGGGGTTATGTCCAACAATATTTTCCGACACAACCGAGGTGTTTGAGAGGGCCTCGACATGGTCGACCAAGTTTCCCCTGGCCGACCAAGAGGTCGACATGATCGAGGAGGGTTGTCCCCCACATGGTTGAGCAACCTTCAGCAAACCCCGGCATGTCCAAGACCAAGTTGTGGTATGATATATATATATAATATATATATATATTGTGGTATGATATATATATATATGTGTGTACGCATCTAAATCAGTAGATCTATATTTAAAAGTCCGTTGGAAACAGTCACCACTGAGCGATGCTGTTTTGGGCCAGTAGACCAAGATGGTTAGAGTTCGACAACTGATTCAATTTAGGCAAAGCCGAATTGAGTTTTAAGTAACGTGGGTAACTATACCGTGTCGTTTGTTGCAGCTCAAGTTGCCTTCAGAGAGTTGGAGGTTGAGAGCTCACTTGACCCGATGCGCCCCCGCAAATCCTCAGAACGATAGTCATGACATTCCCATGCGTCTTGATTAGACCTTTACTACGGGTGGGCGATCAAAGACCTGAACAGGATCCGGGACAAAGGAGCAGGTAACATGGTAGTCCCCAATCCAACAAAACTGTGAAGAATGGACACCCCACCCGGTCAGCCAGGGTTTGTCCTGAATTCAGGGCGCACCCTAAACCCAAGGGGGTTATCTCATATTTTGTGGTTCGCCACATTTGGAGGTTGATTCAATTTTGTGTGTCATGAACATAGTGACATAGGATGTGTTCAATTGGATGTGTTCAGGCTATCTCGGGTGGCATTTTATCCAGCTATCATACAGATTCGATGTTCCTATGTCTTCTCGCTTTGCCAGTTTCGCCTAGCCGGCTAGGTGAAAGTAAAACAACAGATTGTGCCTTCTTCAGCAAGGGAACATGCACGGATCATGGGATGGGTGCTTCTGGGTGTAGAAGAATTCCTCCATGATGACCAGTCATCGCATGAAGGTCGTCGTCATAAGTTGCTTTTTGGGGTCACAGCACCGGCTCAGTGCCATGTCAAGCAAAGGGTTAGAAATGGAACCTCCCTCCAATTTAACCCACTCCCTTTCTTTTTCAACCCAAAGCAGCTGGGGTGTTTCCAGAGCAAAACTCCGAAGGATTACACGCATGGAACCGATCTGCGTCCAGAGTCCTTGCACGTTACTGGACCCACCTTCAGGTGTGGAAGTTGGCGCGATTACTGGGAAAGACCAAATGAGAACTGTTTGAGCTCTACTCTACCTTCTAGAAGTAATAGCAAGGACGCGACGTTCGGGACTCCTGGCCTTACTAGGAACAAGAAGCTAGGGGCTCCTGGCATCGCTACGAACGGAGCAAGGACGCTACATGTTGAGTTCAGTATAGATGATTGTCCGCGGTGTTCAGGTCTCGACCCCGAACGTGGTGTTTAACATGGTTTAACCACAAGCCGGAACAGCAGAGCCAGAGTAACCAGGAACAGTTAGCATGATGCATGTGCAGGTTGATCAAGTTGATCAACCCTTTTTGTACCTTGCAAGCCAAGTATTTTGTATGTTTTTGGGCACTGCCTCCGATCAGGCGTTTCTTTGAAAAGTCACCAACGATGTATTTGGAATTGTGCCATTCATTTTGGGTTTTCCATTGCAACAAAGAGGTGGTGGGACAAACGGGGACAAACGCGGGAAAACTCTCTTCTCATCCACTTGCATCCACTTGCCGAGGATGACTGAGACAGTTTTGAGAAAAGACTCCTCGTGCCGAGAGCACGTGAGCGAAGATCAAGAGGGGTTGGGGAGTTGTGTTGAAATCAGATGAACCACACCACTCCACCATACTCCACTCATTGGAATTTGCTTTCAGAGCTGCTTTGACACAAACCCAAGAGTTTTTGGTTTAACATGGCACCAAAGCTCACAACTGCGGCATGCCTGATTCCCAAATCGCTGCTCATTCGCAATTTCGACACGTGTGAAAGGTTGTATCATATGTGTATTATGTATATTGTATATTGTCATAGAGTATATATATAAGGTAGCCAGTCGAACCACAAAAAGTACTGTTGAACTTGAGCCATATAATATCATGGAACACTTTTTGTGTATGGTTGAAGTGTCCATGTTTGTCCCATTTATTCAGGCACATTCAAGTTCCAGAATTCAGTGACCCAGCGAGTCGCCTACAGTGAGCTACCCAGCGACCCAGCTACCACATGTTCGATTCTGACGTCACGGTGAGGTCAAGGTGAGGTTAGTCCCCTCCTCCTGGATTCAGACCACAACTATGTAACTATAATACTGTAGTAGGTTTGGAACAAATAGAACAACAAAGGCTTTGACCAGCATGAACTGGGCAAAAGTACTTTGGACCATGACAATGACAGCTGTACTGTCTATGGTGTTTTTTTGAGTCCAGGTGGCTTGTGCCTGGCTCAAACATTCCCCAACCATCTTGGAATCGGCTGCGATGTTTCTCAACTTCGTGGCCTCCGATGGACACCTGAGCGGCGTCCAACTCTGAAAAAAGACAATGATCAGCCTGACCAGCCGAAGAGCCTTTCCGATTGCTGGCTGCCAAAGAGGGTTCAGCTTCAACTCACCAGGAATGTTTCGGACGAACATCTGAACATCCGCATCTACTGTGCTATCCATTTCCCACCATTGGCACTGAATCGATTTACCTACAAATGTTCCCTGCAAAGTACCGAAAGTACCCCAAGTGATCGGTGAATGTTTAAACCTGGTGGTTTTGGGGGGGCCCGTGCATTCGGTTGACCCCACCCAGTTCACGAGGAGACCTCTCAAAGCAGCCAGTCTCAGTAGCTGATTCGGCCAGATAGGAGGGTGGAGAGGCGAGACACGGCAAGTCGACAGGTCAGATGGAAGCATCGATGGCCTTTTTTGCCATTGGTTGGTTCATTAGGGGATTTCCCCCAAGTATACAAACCAAGAGGTACGTTTCTAAAGGTACCAAATCGACTACAGTAATATATTCCTCGAAGGACATCCTTACATGGAAGTGGAGTCAAAGCCGAGATAGGGCCGTGCTATGCGGAACATCAGTTTGTGAGCGATATTGGTGTGAAGTACGGGTACCGATGTGGCTCAAATGTTGAATATCCTTTCAATAAGACCAAACATTAAACACTGTGGGGAATGAACATTGCCCGATCAGAGTTAAATGTACTGTATACACCCTGCTGCTTGAATGAGCAACAA